TTGAATTGCACAGTAGCTATATATCACAGCTTGTGTATCTCATAAGGAGTTAAAGCTCTAATTGAAATATTGCTGGAACATCTTGAGAGACAATTTGTACAATGGCTGACTTGCAGTTTAACTTTATTCATGTCTGCTTTTATTCAAAGTGTAATGTAGTAAGAAATTTTGGTCAGTGGTCATATTTCTGCAAGACACAACTTTATGTACATGAAGCTACATAATACAATATAGCTTTCCAATGGGGGAGAGAATTTACTAGTGCTTTTTTAGTCATGAATCAGATAACTTGCTAAATGAGAAATCTGCTCCTTGATTATTATTAACAAAAAAAAAAAAAGGAAATAAATAGAAAGGATATGGAAGCATTACATAGCCAGATTAACAAACCAGCTTCTCTCTGTCTCCAAAATAAGTATAAAGCCATTTTGCTCACTGGAACTTGGAGTTGGCAAACATAATATTGAAAAATGAGCTTTTCTAAATGAATCTGCTTTGCCTCTTACAACTAAATTCTTGCACCAATTCAATTTGAATTTATTTTGTTCACATTGGATGGTTTGGCCAACCAGATTTTGGAACTTACTTTGCCAGTAACCTTTGTAAAGAAATGTATCACTCTATGTGAAGATGGCTTGGCCGCTTATGTTTTGTTGCAAGTACATAAATTAAATTATGCTTTCTTTTCACTGGAAGAAATTGAGCAGTGCCTGGCAATAAATGGCTAAACTGAAACCTGTGGTATTTCTGCTAGGCATTAGGAATTTAACTATGATAATTTAGTTCTTGCAGTTCACAGGATATTAATCCAGTTCCATTTCCTCTTTAGTGAGATTTAGGATTATTAGTGAGCTAATTTAAATCTCATGCTCAAGAAAGTGAGGATAGTATTTCCGGGTTTTTTTTTAAAAAACAGTGACTAGTATAATGTGGATACTATTTAAAAAGGCTTAAGATCATTTTTACACAGATTAATGACACAAGCAGATTTGCTCTATAAACAAGTTAGTCTTAAACTAGTGTAAATGTGTCCCTGTAACAACTTTCTCTGTTTTATCTAAACCCTCTTAAACTGCAGGTATATTTTTGTGTGAACAGATAGCAGAAGGTGATTTCTCCCTTTCTCCCCAATACAGTTTTTCTGAAGAAAGCACTCTTGAATTCCACCAAATGCATCATTTTATGGTCTGATTGCACAGCTACCCAAAAATTAACCATGTAACTGGAATATGTCAAAATGGGCACTAAAAGCAATGGATTTTACTGGATACTCAAAGGAAAAACTTGTGCATTGATCATTACCTGATCGTGTAATGATTATCTAGTGACAGCTTTCAACATATAAACTAAGCTCATGACATATCTTCAGTTAGGTTCACCAGTAAAATTCATCAAACTTGAAATTTAAACTGCACAAATTTGGCTGAACACTTCTACATGGTAGTCCAAACTATTGGTTTACCAATACAAACCAAGTGGTAATCCTACCTCCCCCTTTGATTGTCGCTCACAATGTCTTAGAGTAAATTTCTTTTTTTCCCCTCCTTCCCAAAGGTACCTACTTCTCACAAATACTTCATTGTTGACTCTCCTGTTAAACAGTGGATCTTAATTTATGGAATTCCTTTACCTCAAATAAGTGACAGCATACAGTATTTTCTGAAGTCTGAGTCAATTAGGTTGAAACTGTTAATCCCAAGTGGCTTCCTCTTATTTGTATTTGGCTCTTATTCTGTGAAAATGCTGCTTGTCCATGAATATGATGTATGTTGAGACTGTAAAACCAAATGGAGAAAACTTGTTCAAAATAAAGCCTTTTTTTATAAGAATCTGACAAAAATTATCCCTTTCTTTTAGATGGGATGCTGCTCCTTAAATGACTAATGAGGACATAGAGTACCTGTTTCAAATTCTTAGCTCTTGTCTTGAGCTGTTTTTTGAGTGACTCTTTGCCTTCTGTTTTTTAGAGCTGGTGGAGTGTGTCTTTAAAAAAACAAAACAAAACCCAAAGCAAAAAGACCCCCCAACCTCTCCATATTTAGTTGATGAAAGTTGAAGTATCAGAAGCGTGCAACTGGGGGTTAAGAGTTGGGGTTTTGTTTGGTGGTTTTTTTTAAATTTGTAAGGGTTCTGGTTGAGAGATCCTACAAGTTTCTGTTGTGGTGGTCTGTAGAGAACAAGAAGGCTCAGTTTTGACAGAAGGAGCATGTTTAATTGAAGAAATGAATAATTGAAAGGGGTTATGGCCTTTTAAAGATGATTCTTCCTAGTGTTGCATTGCTCAAGCTGCGAAACTTTGGGTGTTAATGACTGTGTCTTTTGCCACTGTTGAACATCAGCACCTTAAACTGCATCTACTGTCTTTAATACATTAGAAATGAAACTGCTTTCATAGCAGGTGGGGGAGGGGGGATGTTAATCACTCTGTTCTCCAGATGCTTGTAACTGCTGCTGCCGCTGCACTGATGACTGCCCCAAAAATCAGTCCTGTTCAGGAATAGTCAGAGCTAAAAAATGGAACTGAGTTGGTGTGCACTCACTTCAGCTGGTAAGGAAGTAATGCCTAACTGGTAAGGTTGTCAGGGAAGAGAATATTTGTAGCTGTATTTGCCACTTACTGCAAGGTTGAAGCTGAGCTGTATTACTGTAGAGCACAATCTTACTTTGGAGTGCCTGAATTTCAGTTTTTTTCAAATCAAAATTACAGCCAAATGTCTGTAGAATAAATCAAAATATCTTCATGTTGAATTGATACATGATGCATTCTAAAACTATGCACAAGTATTTCTGAATGAATCTGATTAGCCGATGTCCCCAAATTATTTTTCCTTTTGCAGTGTTCATTTTGTTAAATCCACATGTATGGAAAATGGAGCATGTCCCTGAACTATGTGGACAATCCTTCCTTGTCAGCAATGTGCTCATCAGTCATAAACATCTAATCCCCTGTTAATGCATGTCATGTTTTATTTCTTATAAAGTTGTAGCCTTCAGCAAGAAGAACCGCTAGTGAAAGTACACCGCAGTCCCATAGTACTTCCACAGCAGCAGCAGAACTGCTTTAGAAGGTTCCCGTTTTCCTGCTGGAGGTTATTGCCAAATAAGGTGTTAATTCAATTGATCTAAAGTTTCAACTGTAAATTGGATTTGTGGAATCTGGTTGAATGACAGAAACTAACAAACGAGATCTGTTGCCAACAGACTAGCTCTGGTAGCCAGTGGCTTCATTTCAGCATCTGCAAGGGAGGGGTGGGAGGGTGTGTTTATCTCACCTCTAACTGTCAAGATGCAAATACCGACTTCTTAGTAGTGCTCCGATAATTGCTGAGTTCAGTACCTTTTCATAATTTCAGTTTTGGCGTTTGCTTTCTAACTAGATTGTTTTGACAGGACCAAAGGCAAGCAGAGCAGAAAGGTGCTAAATTCTGATGAAACAGCGGGATGCGAGTGAGGCTGGGGACAGCAACTCTGGTGAGCTGGAGCTGTGTAGCAGCTTGTGTGAGTAGGGTTGCCCCTTTGATCCAAGTACCTTAAAAAGTCAGAGCTCTGCAAGCTGTTCCCACTAGGAAGAGAAAATTAGTATGATTCAGGTACACCTTTGCGACAAGCTCATGCGTTTTTGACAAAGGTATGCAGAGCGCTGTTTTCCTGAGTGCTGTGAAATCCATGCGCTGTAGGCCACTTCCAGCTCTTCGTTTCCAAAACTGCATGTTTAGTTAGGTCTGGAGGAAAAAAAAAAATAGTTTGTGCTCTAGTTTCCATGAGCCGCAGGACAAAGTGGGGAGAAAGGCAGCAATCAAGCCCATCTCCCTGCCTCTCTGTTTTTCACAGAAAAGCCTTTAGTCTACCAGGCTTAGGCCTGCTGTGCTTTTGCCAGCACCTGGCTTGATTTTGAGTCTTGCTACCTATGCAGCTGAATATTGGATGTGTTTCAGATCGTTCTCACTTTCTTCCTGGAGCTGTCTGGGATTCCGGCCAGGCGGAGGAAGGGAGGGAGCAGCTCCCGCTGCAGCCCGCGCACTGGCCTGCCTCCTGGGCCTGAGAGCTGTGGGAAGAGCCAGGGGGAGCGACTGCTCCTCCCTTTTCTACCCACCCCTGTTCCCCTTGAGAGCTAATACTGTGTGCCTCTAAGGGAAAGATGAGAGCGAGCTTCATGGATCAAAACAGTCCTGCATCTTCTATCATTTCCTCTTCCTTCCTCTCTAGTGAACACGGAGGATGCTTCCTCTCTGCTTCCTCTTGTGCTGGTGGAGGAAAAAGTCCTCAAGCTGCAGGAGGAGGAGACTTGATAAAGGGACTCTAAGGCAGGACATGAAGAACTGATTTCTGGACAAAGCACAAGTGGAGAGTGAGCAGACAGCCTTACTGACTTCGGGGTTGCATGCAACATTAATTGTTGTGTTGCTGGGCTGGGGATGGGCAAGGGAAATTCCAGAGCCAAAGACAGGCCAAAATCTGACCAAGTAATAGTCTCATTAATGTCTGGGCCAGTCTTTTCATTCTGGAGGGATTTGACTCATGATTTCTGACCCTTTCATGTGACTGTGTTAACCACAACAGAGAGACATTTAATTGCCCTCTTGCTCAGCCTTCAAGGAGGCAAGCCTTTGGTCTTTTGGGCAACTCTGTGATTCTCAAACACACGTGGTGGCAGTTGTAACACTTTACAGAAAGACCATCTTCAGCAAAGGGAATAGATCTGTAGGTGAAGAGAGCGCAGCAGGTTATGTCCTCTTTGTAGTACTAGTACATAATTTGAGCAAGGTTTGTGACAGTCTCCCACTCCGACCTGGTACCCAGGCTGGGTTATTACAGTCTGCATAGGTGGCTTGCCAGACGAGAGAAAAACTGGCTGAGTCATTGGGCTTAGAGAGCAGCAGTAAATAGTTCATACCCTCCCTGGAGACCAGTTATGAGTACCGTACGGGTCTGTGCTGGTATCTCCTGTTTTACTGTTTTTATCAGTGACTTAGAGCAGAAAGTGAGTGCATCCTCGTCTGGTTTGTGGGTGTCACCAAACGGGTAGTGCAGCTGACACACGAGAGGGCAAGGCAGTCATCCACAAGGACCTGGATGGGATGGAATTCGGCAAGGACACAGACAAAGTCCTACCCCTTGGGTGGACCAACCCCTGGCAGGGCACAGGCTGGGGACTGCTTGGCAGGGGAGCAGCTCTGCAGGTAAGGCCCTGGGGGTCACAGTGGGCAGCAAGCTGGACGTGAGGCTGCAGTGTGTCCTGGCAGCAGCAGACCAACTGCATCCTTGGTGGGATGAACAGGGACAGCCAACAGACTGAGGGAAGCGATTATCCCCCTCTGCTTGGCACCTGTTAGACCACATCTAATACTGTCTTATCGTTTTGGGTCCTCACTATGGAAAAGACATCAGTAAGTCGAAGTGAGTTAGGGGTGGGGGAGAGGGCTTCCAAGACAGGCAGGGGCTGGAGTGGTGGCCCTCTGAAGACAGGCCAGGTGAGCAGGGCTTGCTTAGCCTGGGGGAGGGATGGCTGTGGGGCAACCTAACGGCAACCTCCCTGTGCCTACAGGGAGGTCAGCAAGAGGAAAAGTCAGGGTCTTTACTGAAGTCATAAACTGAAAGAGGGGAGGTTCCAGCTGGGTGTAGGGAAAACATTTTCCCTACAAGGATAGTTAGGCACTGGACTGGCTGTGCAGTCTCTGTGCTGGGGGACCTTCAAGACCTGACTGGACAAGGCCTGTGCAACCGGGGTTGATCTCTAGATAGAGCCTGCTTCGAGTGGGAGGCTGGACTGCAGATGTTCTGAGGTCCCTTCCAGCCTGAGCAATGCTGTGGTTTGGATGTTCAACCTAAAACCTCATTGCTGTAACTTGGACCTCTTCCACTTTCTCCTACTCTGAAGGAACATGAAAAATGGTTTATCCCCTTCCTCATTCCCCTTTAGCTAAATGAAGGCAGTTCTCTTTTTTCAGTTTTATCTTCTCTGAACTCTATTTATTTCAGTCTTTACTCCTGGGTCATGTTCTTCTCTACACCTTGTTGGGCTCCTCAGGCCATGTCCCACATGGGCTGTATCTTTTTTGAAATGCAGCACTCCGGATGGGATATGGTACCTCAACAAAGCACACCTAGTGCTGAGAGTGCCATGTGTCCTGCAGACTATATTCCTGTTTGCATAACCCTGTGTGATGTTTGCTTTTTTCACAACAGCGGGGCCTTGTTGACTCACATGGAGTTTGCATGGCACTATAGTCATACTTTCCACTCTACACAACTGCTGTCCCAGATAGTGGCTACTCGAGCAGTTGATTGCTCCTGCCTGGCTCTAAAATTTTGCATTTGTCCTTATCAGCCAACTTCCTATTTTACTTTCTCATCTCATTTCTCCAGTTTGTCAAAGATCATCTTGAACTATGATTCTGCCCTCTGAACTGTTCACGGCCTCTCCCATGCAGTTAAATATGGAGTGGCTTTTCTTGGGCTGCTTTTTTCTCTCTATAGAAACATTTCCATGAGCTTGTGCGGTAGCCTTGTGCTCTGCCTTCCCAAAAGGGCTCTGGGTGCCACCAAAGCACCGTTGGTTCTTTGGGTGACTTCTTTAATCGCTCACAAAAAGCCGCCTCCACCTGATGTTCCTCCTTCAGTGATCCTACCACAACAGCATGTACCTTTTTCCCACCCTTCCTTTGATCACTGATTGCATTTGTCCAAGGGGTCTCTCTCCTTGACCTTTCAGTCTTCAGCATGTCTACTCATCACGGATACAAGAAACAACATTTTCTGCTTGCTGCTCTTAAACAAGCTGTTTATTTCTACGCTAATATTCCAGTCAGTGTCACATTGCCACTATGCTGATCAAATCATAATTTTGATTATATACCAACCCTCATCACAACTCCTTTTGTTCCTTGGGAGAAAAATAATCCTAAGTGTTGCCAGATCTCAGGAAATGGCTTAAGTGGCTCCCACTTATGAAATCAGTAGTGACCTGCTGATTTGTGGGAGTTATTTACAAGGCTGCATTGGAGTAAGTGTCCCACTGATTGGGCTCAGCCATAATGGGTCTAATTAGCAGGCAGTGGGGTGGAGAAGAGTACAGGCACCATGACTGATTTTAATGCTGCTAATGCCAATGGCACATTGTGGGTCGGTGTTGCTGTGGATATCTTTTAAGTCAGGGGGTTTTTAAGTCAAAACTCCCATTTTCTTGTAAGTGTTGCCAGTTTACCTTCAGCTGGCTGCTGCCATGGTGAAGGAGATTGAGTTTTGAGCGCAGAGCTGCAGTGCAATTACAAATCCCTCTCATTAGCCTCGCACATTATGTTCGGATAGTTTCCAATACGCCTAGCGCTGTCACTTGGTCTTACAAGTCTCCTCTGAGGTATCTGTTTTACATTTTACAGGATCTGGCAAATCCATCTGTGCTGCCGATTTCGTATCTCGACATCCATCTGCCTGAAGTTGCAGTGGTTGTTGTGAGGCTGACGCTTTTTCAGACAGAACAGCTGACTCAGTGCCTCTTCCCTCAGTCCCTCCTGAAAGGCATTAAAAGGTATGGCTCTCTCTCCTTGGCTACCCTCTGTGGGTACGACTGCAGTCTTCAAATACTTGCACCCGTTCTGTTCCAAATATTAATGGATTTTTGCTTCCCTGTGCTTTGCAACTGGGCCTTATGTGTGCCCTGGTGTCTCACAGGTTTTCTAATACCCATTTCAAGGGCCAGATGTTCTTAACATCACTGTTTTCACACTCTGCATTCCTCTAGTGCCATTCTGTAATTTAGCTGCATCAGATGCAAGCTAGAATCTGATTCCACATGCTTTTCCAATTGATGTTTTTCCAATGGGGCTAATGGTTACTTCTGCAAACCTCACTTTACATGCGTATTTCAGACATAATTAGCTAGGCAGACTGCGATTTAAAGTAAATAATTGTCCTGTTTAACAGCAGTATTTTCTAGTAAATTTTTCTTCAGGAAAATGAGAATAACAATGTGGAATTGAAAGTAGGTTTACAACTATTTTGATCCAGAAAGGGGCAGGGAAACAGCAATGTAATTTGTCATCCACATGGATTTTTCTCTCTAATTTGTGTGAATTTTTAGCCTATGTAATTTAACAGCTGCCTCAGTGTTGCTGTTTATTTAAGGCCAATATAAAATACCTGGCTCTTCTCTTGATTTGTTTTTAACTGCTCAGTGTTTTTCCTGTGTTTTTTCCTAAATTTCATCCCACATTCTAGTCATGGTCCATTTTCTTACCAGAGAGACTCTCCACTTTGTAACCCTAAGACTGGTCATTCAGCTTCAGACCAGTCACATCCAGTTGTAAAGTCTCTTCTGTCATTTTTACCACTTAAAACATCCTGTTCCTTTTTATTTTCATACAGCATGCAATGCTGTCCAAATAGCTATACTACATAGTATCTATATTGTCCTGGTTTCAGCTGGGATAGAGTTAACTGTCTTCCTAGTAGCTGGTACAGTGCTATGTTTTGAGTTCGGTATGTGAAGAATGTTGATAACACTGACGTTTTCAGTTGTTGCTAAGTAATGTTTAGGCTAAAGTCAAGGATTTTTCAGCTTCTCGTGCCCAGCCAGCGAGAAAGCTGGAGGGGCACAAGAAGTTGGCACAGGACACAGCCAGGGCACCTGACCCAAACTGGCCAACAGTGTATTCCATACCATGGGACGTCACATCTAGTATAGGAACTGGGAAGTGGGGGCAGGGATTCGCCGCTCGGGGACTGGCTGGGTGTCGGTCGGCGGGTGGTGAGCAATTGCCCTGCGCATCATTTGTACATTCCAATCCTTTTACTACTACTGTTGTCATTTTATTAGTGTTATCATTATCAGTATTAGTTTCTTCTTTTCTGTTCTATTAAACCGTTCTTATCTCAACCCACGAGTTTTACTTCTTTTTCCTGATTTTCTCCCCCATCCCGCTGGATGGGGGGGAGTGAGTGAGCGACTGCGTGGTGCTTAGTTGCTGGCTGGGGTTAAACCATGACATATATGTGCAGATGGAGACATACAGTTGTCTCCACTCCATTACCTAAAACACATGGAACACTTCAGGGTAAATCATGTTCTAAAAGAAAGCTACCTTGAATTGCTTTTCTCTTTACTGGTATTTTTTATAGATACAGAAGAAATTGCTGCTTGGACTTTGTAGAGCAACAAGCTACGTTCTCGAGACGTTTCACTCTGGTAAGCCTCTTCAGTATCTCATGCTTTCATGCAAGGATTTCGGTTTCGTTTTTTAACTTTCCACAGCAGTGTGGATGCAGCCATTGTGACACCAAACAATTTCCCAGGCAAACACCTCATCATCACATTCTCAGACGCCATCAGAAGTGTAGTAATTACATCAGAGCATAATAACTATCCGTTGTGTTGGTGCCATAAGGACTCACGGATATGAAGCCAATTTGACTAGGACGCAGCCCTCCACGAGGCTCGAGATGGCTGCTCCTTCTTCACAAGCAGCGCGCAGCCTGCCCCTGTGCCAGCAAGTGCACCAGCAGACGAGTGCCGAACTGTAGGCAACACGGGAGCTTAAAACAGGGAAAGTGTTTAGGTGTTTTCCAGAGTCACGTGTAGGGCTTGGCACCTTTTGGGATACACCCACTTCCTGATTTGTGGCACAACTACCGCTAGTGAAATGACCAGCGTGGGTCCTTTTCAGCGAGGCACTTGCCACTTACTTTCTGTGGCACCATCTCCAGCCTGTAGGTCCCAGCTGGGGAATTCACCAGCTCTTCCCTGCCCCGGGCTGGACATTTCCAGGCTTTGGCAGGAAACCGAGACGCGCCCGGGCCCTCTCTCTCGCCGTGGCTGATCCGGGTGACCCGAGATGAGGCGGCAGTGCCGGCGGGTGCCCTGACGCCGCGCAAGCCCGAGGCCTTCCCAGGGGGTTCAGGTGCCAGGGGGAGTGCCTGGCTGCGGGCCCAACCGTGCAACTCCCCTCCCAGCAGCCCCCTCTGATGCGGTGGGTTATTATTTTTTTTTTTTTCCCCTCAGATCGCAGCGGTGACCAGTAACACCCGCAGCCCTCCCTCGGGAGTTACAAGCAGTCCATGTGCCTGCTTCCTCCCTACAGGCCCGTGCCCACAGGCGGACGATGAAACGTCGCCTTCGAAGGCCGGCGCCTGGGCACGCCCCCGCCCGTC